AAGTTAGCCGGGCGGTGGTGGTGTACGCCTTTAATCCCAGCACTTGGGAGGCAGAGGCAGGCGGATTTCTGAGTTCGAGGCCAGCCTGGTCTACAGAGTGAGTTCCAGGACAGCCCGGGCTATACAGAGAAACCCTGTCTTGAAAAATCAAAAAAATAAAAAATAAATAAAAATAAAAATAGTATAAAAGTTTGACTGGACTTGATGATGCATGGTTTTAGTTTCAGCACTTGGAGGCAGAGGCAGATGGATTTTTGTAAGTTTGAGGCCAGCCTAGTCTACAGAGTGAGTTTCAAGACAGTCAGCGCTATGCAGTGAGACCCTGTCTCAAGAAGATCCAAAAGGGCAGGGTGTTGGTGTCACATGCCTTTAATCCCAGCACTTGGGAGGCAGAGGCAGGCGGATTTCTGAGTTAGAGGCCAGCCTGGTCTACAGAGTGAGTTCCAGGACAGCCAGGACTACACAGAGAAACCCTGTCTTGAAAAAACCAAACCAAAAAAAAAAGAACCAAAAAGAATTAATTAATAAATAAATAAATAAATAAATAAATGGAAAAAAGAAAAGGAAAAGGAGAGGACATAAAGCTTTGTTCATCTAAGTGCATTTAGAAAACTAATATATAAAAAAATTCAATTGTAACTGCTTTGTGATTTTTTTATGATTTATTTTTATTTTTTGTGTATAAGCATTCTGTCTGTCTGTCTGTCAAGGCATTATGTACATGCCTGGTACCTGCAAGAGTCAGAGGGCCTTGGACTCCCTGGAACTGGAGTTTACAGAGGGTTATGAGTCAGCATGTGTGTGCTGGGAACAGGCCTTCAGTTTGACTCCCAGTGCTACATAGGTAGGGCATGGTGGTGTAGAAAGGGGCATTTATAACCCCATCAAAGCAGAAACAAGAGTCAGAAGTTCAAGGTTATCTGCAGCTACACAGGGAGTAAGAAGCCAGCCTTGGCTGGAAAACCTATCTCAACTAAATAAATTACTAACAAAGGGTGATTAAATTGATACAGTGGCCGGGCAGTGGTGGTACACACCTTTAATCCCAGCACTTGGGACGCAGAGGCAGGTGGATTTCTGTGTTCAAGGCCAGCCTGGTCTACAGAGTCAGTTCCAGGACAGTCAGGGCTATACAGAGAAACCCTGTCTCTAAAAACAACAAAAAAAATTATACAGTGTTGTTTTGTCAAACTCCTAGAAAAATTTGTAAACTGCTTTATGCTAGCAAACATAAAATCAGATAAAAGATGAAAGGTGTGTTCAAAGAAAGACTGGCCCAGTATATGAGGATACTTCTGTTTCGGGGCGGTGCTTGGGTGTTATGTTCATGTGGGTACAAATGTAGGGTGTGTGCCTGTGGAAGGGAGAGGTCCATGTATTTCAGGTGTCATTCACCTTGTTTTCTGAGACTGAGTCTCTCATTGCCTTGCAGCTAGCCAAGTAGGCCAGGCTGGAAGTCACAGGAATCTGCTTGTCTCTGCCTTCTCACTGATGGATTACTCATTTGTGTCACAGCATGCAACTTTTACTTGGATTCTGGGGATCCAACTTAGGCAGGTCCACGTGCTTTCACTGAAAGCACTTAGACCAACCAAGCTATTCTCCAGCTCGAAACATACAGGTATTTTGTTCTTATTGCGACAGGCTGTTATAGAGCTAAAGGGATGGCTCCGTGGAAAAAGAGTACTTGGCAAGCATGAAGACCTCAGTTTGAATTCCCAGCCTCTACATGAGAAGCTAAGCATGGCTACCTGTGCCTGTAACTCCAGCATTGTAGGTAGAGCTTAAGAGGGTGCTGAGAGCGAGCCCCGTCAGCCAGCCTAAACCATGAGCTTCTGGTTCAGTGAGAGACCCCATCTCAAAGCAGTAAGTCTCCAGAAGCCTGAATGAACCACATGTGTGGTTGGTTTTTATTTCAACACATGCAGGAAGTCCTGTGGTCTTTTAAGTGTAGCATTGTAAAAAATAAACTTTAACTTCCTTCTCAGGGCATGCCTGCAAATCCTAGAGGAACCCTTCGTTGCAGAGCACAAGGACTTTCAGAGCTGGTTGCAAAGATCTCTAACCCTGTGATCCAATTCCTCACCCTCTCTGGGTAGTGTTGTGAGTGTGTCTTTGAGTTGCAATCCAACCCTCTAGGAACATTTGGAAGGCAATGGAGTCAGTTTCCCCTCACTCCTCTGGGCTCCTCTTCCAAATAACTGCAGTTCCAGCAGCCACAGTATGTCACCAAGACCCAAGATTAATACAAAAAACTATCTTAGTAAATAATACTTGAAATGTGTATTTTTCTCTTATTACTGATTTAAGAAACAAAACAGTAAAAGAAAAATGTTAATGTCTAACAAATGATAGTTCTCATTGCCTTCAAATTATAGCTAAGCTGGCTTGACTTAGCTATAGTCTAAGCTATGCTCAGTGTGATGGCATGTGCCCTGCCTATAATCCCAGTCCTCTGGAGACAGAGGCAGCCTGAACTAAATAGTGTGAGTTCCAGGCCAGCCTGGGCTACAGGGGATCATGTATCTATGGATAAACAAACAAGGATATCACACTAATACTCTCAAGGTTTTATAAGCTGCTCTAAGATCCCCAATATCCCTAAAATACTTCATTACTCTATAACTGCACAGCACCTCAAGAAACTGAAAATAATTTTAGGAAAGGATATCACATGTATATTTCTAGCCAGGGCTGGTAGTGCACACCTTTAATCCCAGACCTCAGGAGGCAGAGGCAGGAGAATCTCTGAGTTCCAGGTTAGCCTGGTCTACAGGGCAGCCAGGACTACACAAAGAAAGCCTTTCTTGAAAACAAACAAACAAACAACAAAAAAGAATACAATGCTAAAAGGGAAGTTTAAACTTTTATTGCCGGCAGTGGTGGCGCACGCCTTTAATCCCAGCACTTGGGAGGCAGAGGCAGGCGGATTTCTGAGTTCGAGGCCAGCCTAGTCTACAGAGTGAGTTCCAAGACAGCCAGAACTACACAGAGAAACCCCTGTCTCCAAAGACAAAAAAGAAAAAAAAAGAAAAACAAAAAAACCCTTTTATCAAGTCTTTTGAGAATCTACAGAAGGCTACAAATGTCTCCCACTAACAGGTGCATGTGCACACACAAATGCACTTATTAGCGACTGCATAATCAACCCATTGGACACAATATATCCAGTGAATGTCTGCTGTATCTCAGAGATGGCAGAAATAAATGCACAAGTACCTTTCCCCCCCATGGAGGTGACTCATAGGATAAGTGTTTATTTTAAATAATAGGAGTGAACCCAGGGCCTTATGCATCCAAGCAAATGGTCTGCCGCTGACCTTCTATCTCTTGTTTTCTGAGATGGGGTTTTATGGAGCCCAAGGCTGGCTTCCCATTTTGTATGTACTCAAGAACTCAAGTTCCTGCCTTCACTTCCTGGTTGCTGGGATTACAGGCAAGAGAAATCCCAATTGTCTAAAAACATATATTAAATTTAAAAAGTAATTAATAGCGGTGGAGAGATCTCAGTGGTTAAGAGCATTGACTACTCTTCCAGAGGTCCTGAGTTCAATTCCCAGCAATCACATGGTGGCTCACAACCATCTGTAATGAGATCTGATGCCCTTTTCTGGTGTGTCTGAAGACAGCTACAGTGTACTCAAATACATAAAATCAATAAATAAAATCTTTTTAAAAAGTAATTATTAGGCCGGGCAGTGGTGGCGCATGCCTTTAATCCCAGCACTTGGGAGGCAGAGGCAGGCAGATTTCTGAGTTCTAGGCCAGCCTGGTCTACAGAGTGAGTTCCAGGACAGCCAGGACTACACAGAGAAACCCTGTCTTGGGGGAAAAAAAGTAATTATTAAATTTTGGCTAGAAAGATGACTCAGTAGCTAAGAGAACTTGTTGTTTTGGTAGAAGACTCAAGTTAAATTCCCAGTACCCCCATAGCAGCTCACAATCACCTATAACTTCAGCAGGACACACCTAACACCTTCTTCTCGCCCATAAGTAAGCACTAGGCATACACAAGTGCACAGACAAACCAGAGACACATGTTTTTAAAAATGGCAAAGGGCCGCGCATGGTGGCACATGCCTTTAATCCCAGCAGCACTCAGGATGCAGGGCTGGCAGAGTGATTTCTGTGAGGTCAGGCCAGCCTGGTCTACATACTGAGTTCTAAGATAACTAGGGCTGAGAGACCTTGTCTCCAAGTAAACAGATAAAATGTCAAAGCTATACAAGACTTACAATCATTTTCTTAAAGAAAACTGTAGAGGTTCTTTAAGAAACAATCAGATTTGCTCTCGTATTTGTCCCTGGCTGTAACCAGGACTCAGCTTTCTAAGTATCTGTGCAAAATGCAGCGAATGAAATGGTGAGAGACACAGCTATGGTTCTTCAGGCTGTTGGGGCTGTGTAAGCCACAGAACATAAGACAGGCCACACTCAGGACACGCGATGCTGTTCTCAGCTTGCCGCTGCTGGATGCAGAATCCCGCATTTGGAGGAGGCAGGGGAAGGCCAACTGAAGATGAACTATGAAATTAATGTTTATTTCCTCAAACATTTCTTGAATATCTCTTATTTCTCTTTGAATTTCACCTCTGCTTGTTTCCACATAAGATTTGTAGAGTTTCAGCAGGCTTAATAGCAGAGCAAAGTCAGGAGTGGAGGAGTAGCCTGTGATTCCAGTGCTTGGGAAGGAGAGAAAGGAGCAGGAGCTGGAGGCCAGCCTGGGATACATGAGACCTGGCCTCAAAATACAATGAATCATAAACTTAAGGGAAAGTTTGACTCTTAAGAATTTGTTCAGTGTACTTCAAGGTGGTAGTATATACCTTTAATCATACCACTCAGGAGGGAGAGGCAGGCTGATCTCTGAGTTCCAAAGCAGCCAGGGCTACTACACAGAGAAATCCTGCTTCAAACACCGGACCCCTCCAAAACAAAACAAAACAAAACAAAACAACAACAACAACAACAACAAAAAAAAAGACATGTGCACAACAGGCAAACAGAAGAAAGATCCTTGTGGGATTGATCTTGGCTTTTATTTTAAAATACATTTAGCATAGAACTGTCATCAAACAAAAACATAAACACAAAGAAATAGAATATTTTCTAATTCTTTTTAAGGGACACACAAAAATAATAGGATAATAGACCCAAAGTAGGGAACCTTTTCTATAGCTCAATTCATGGAACACATCTGTTGAGAGGAATCCCCACTTCACAGCTTCGGAGCTCCCTGCGTACCGATTCTTCTTGAAACACCCGCTTTCTTCTCCTAGTGGCGTAAGGGTCCAAATTTACTTGCTTAAAGTTGATCAGATTTTGTTTGGGTAAAACCTACCAGGCCCCCAAGCTTTCAATCAGAATTATAAAAACTATGAGCTCAAATACCTCAAATATTCATGTTGTCCAAAATAGAAATGTTTTCCTTCTAAACAATCAGAGATTATTGCACTAAAATCGTTACGTCCACCCCTGATGTCCATTCATATGGAAAATTAATTCTCTTCTTTACAAAAGCTCACCACAAATAAATGCAATATTAACCTAATTGCAATCACACTTCAAAATATAAAGGCACAGACAGGAAAAAAAATAGTTTAATGCTACACTCAAATTTTCCACTGTAAAAAAAATTAGTTGGGAAAATAATAGAATCTAAGCTACCAAAACTTCACATTTGGATTTTATAATCTACCTTGCTAAAGAGTGGGGTATTAAAAGTTAATGGTGGGAAACCCAATCCTTTTCAAATAATTTAGAAAAATGGCTTGTATACGTAGAAAGGGTGTACATTGTTTCATCTATAAATTTCAGTTACATTTCCACTCCCTGGAAATATTTACTTGTACTATATACAGTCAAGATGATGTACATAGATATATACTGTTCCTATAACTTGCAACGCACACAAAAATACTTACAAAAATGGAAATACTTACCCATTTAGCTTTCCAATAAATTAGTGAGAAAACTCAGGGATTCCACATTTCTTTCTAAAAAAACAAAAAAAAAAAAACCAAAAAAAAAAAAAAAACTGAAGAGTTATGGGCCGTTTTACTTCTAATTCTGTTAGTTTGATATATTTTTTAAAAATATTTGCCTGATGATGTGGTTTAAGATAGAATTTGAGTGTCACTTTTACATCACAGTATACATGGTGTCTCTTAATTCAGGAAAAGAAAGGCACAGTTAGCAAGCAATAAAATTCAGTACCTGAATTATTAAACTGGTGACCGAAACAGTGAGAAAAAAAAAAGTACATTCAACACAGTGTATAGAAATTTAAGAAAGAAAGAAAGAAAGAAAGAAAGAAAGAAAGAAAGAAAGAAAGGAAGGAAGGAAGGAGGAAAGAAAGGAAGGAAGGAGGAAATTCAAAAGAACAAATTTCTCCAAAAACTTGGTCCATTAAAAATGCCTCTCATGTTCAACATCATGGATAGCATGAAGGAGATGGCAGTGTAGGAAGAGGCAGTAATCAGGGTGTGGTAGTATATGGAGTTCTGTCTGGTAATTGTCAACTCAACTAGGAAATGGCTCCCTTAGGAAAGAAACATTAAGCCTATTTGTTAATAACAACATGCCTGCATTAATTCCAAAAACTTGGGCACACCTGCATATTGTTATTGATTTTTCAATACACCCCACTGTTCTTAGGTAAATAACTGTATACATAATATATACTAGATACACATTTGTACACTGTGTATCTTAATATATATTATATATAATAACTACAATTTGTAACAGCAAAGAACTCTCCAAACATTTTGTGAACATTCTCAACAGGCACGCCATTTCTCAGTACTGAGAGAGCTCGGCCCACCTAAAAGAACATCTGGTATGCAGTGATAGAACACACTGGCTGCAGAATTTACTCCTTTAAGTTAAATTCTTGCAAAAGCCTCTGATCCAAGTTTTTACCTAGAGAATAGCTTTAGATATAGCTGGTAGCTTCCTTTCTTATAATAAACAGTGTCTCTCCATCAAGAGATACCAATAAAGGAAAATATGTAGGGGATCAAAAACGTGATGGAGAAACCAACCATCCCATAGGTAATATACCGGTATGGCAGCTCCACTTCCATGTGCTGCCTTGCTTGGCGAATGTCATGACAAGGAATACTGAAGAGTTTACAGGCTAGAGGAATGGTGATCTTCTTCATGATATCTCTTACGAACAGTACAAGTGTCATTCCTAGGACGACCCGTAATATGGCTTTTCCAAACAGAGTTACAGTAAGAGGGGGAATAGCTAAGGGTAATGTGTGCAGAGAAGGGTCTAAGGATAGACCCAGGTTATAAGCAGTGTGCGAGCCACATGCAATCCCAGCACCACTTCCCAGAATCTCGGCCGTGTCTCCCCGGGATGTGCTCCAGGTGTCAAGGGTGAAAGAGAAGATGCCCAAAATTAAGTGAAGCCCGATGATGATGAGCGGGGCGTATTTGTAGGTTTGGTTGAAGTTGTCAATCAGGTCCACCAACGGGTAGAAGATAATGAAGATTAAAATGGTATACAAGAATCCAGCGATGACATCCTAGAGAGGATAAAAGTACAGTTAGTAAATTTAAGCCTTACAAACCGACCATACAATAGTACTGGAACTTGGGCTAGGGCTGTAGCCTGGTGGGTAGAGTGCTTGCCTAGCATGCATGAAGCCTAGGTTGGATTCCTGCACTGAAAGACATGGCATATTGCTGCACACTCATAATCCCAGGACTGGGAAAGTAGAGGCAGAAAGGTCAGAAGTTCCAGGGTTACACAAAACCCGGTATAAAAAACAAAACAAAGT